TCGCTTCGACAATCCAAACGATGGAGAAGAAACAAGTCGCAAAAATCAATGAATTGCAATTGCACACGACCGCAAACGCGAGAATCGAGGCAACTGTCCCGACGTCAGTCCCACAGAGTTTGCAAATATACTGAATTCGATCCTCGACAACCAAGTAGTTCTTTTTTCCTTTCGCAAAATCTTACCACCTATATAATTTACACCACATGTAAGATTTCCAGTGCACCCTTGTATATGCACTTCCAATGCCGGTATGTATATTTATTGGCTTCTGTCTCTGGTTACCACAACCGAGGCATGCACACGTGTTTTCGTTGTACAGAGTGGCGGCCACTGACGATCGACCAACAGCGTAGGTAAGTACGCGTATGGATTATGTGCCCATACCCGCAAAGTTGAGAAAAGGATAAAATGAAAGAAGCAAAACGCGCACTGGCAGCCGATTACGTAATTTTTTTTTCCTTCTTTTCTTTCGTATACTTACTTATTTGCGCACACGCGTAACATACCTTTGGCAAAAAGTACATGTTTTGTGAGCGTAAGTCCATCGTTGCGGTGAGTGGCATACAAACGCGCTGATGGAGAGAACATTAAAAATATACGCTCTAGCTCTTTTTCTCGCCGGACGCGTTGTCCCCGCTTCAGCGGACAGCTGGCATGTGGTTGCTGCAGGCTGTACATAGGTGCGGGTGCATATGGACGCATTATTATTGCATGTTTTTTTTTTTTTTTTTTTTTTGTGTAAGAAAACTCTATTTATTGCGTCATTGTAACGTTAAAACTCTCCCTTTATTTTTTGTTACTGCGTTGCGCGTAATAGCGATTTTGATAGCTTTCGGATGGTTCCGAGAACGAGCTCTCTCGACAAGCTGTACGCAATGTGTCGAGAAAAAGTCCATACACGAGCTGAGAAAAAATATACCTTTGTGGTTTGCTTTTTTGGACATTGCAACTAAAAATAGCCTTTCAAGTCGAAGTGACGCACGTGTACATGTAGGCACGAGTTTTGGCTTCTTTTGGAGGCTCCGAATGATTCAGCGATGGCCATTTATTACTGCTGCCCGCGCACACTGTTGTCTAGTTGCGTTTACGATTTGCGACAAAAGAAGAAAAAAAAAAAAAAAAAAAAAAACAACATCTATCCAGTAATTTATAAGACATCCGTGCGAGAAATCGTTTATTACATGGGTATACTAAAATTGTATTTTATAAAACGTGTTTGCTGGTTTGCAGTATAGGTGGAAAGTCACGTACGCTATTTTCCCGTGCCTCGTAAATTTGAACGATCAGAAAATTGTGTACCTACAACTCGGGACAATGGAAGCAGTAGCCTGTAAAGAGAACGACACGAAGCTCATTGCGCGTTCCGTGGATGCGTAGGTGGTGTACACGCGAAAGAAGAGCTGGGACGCCGGTCGCTGACACGTTACGCGCACCAGTCCGTACGCATTGGCGCGTAATCGAACGCTCAATTTACCTCTGACGTAAAAACAGACAGCCGCAATTTTCGGATCGATCCACCAACAACTATACGACGCACCAAAGGGTCTATTAAATTGCTCGTTTCGTTTATACGGCAGCGTTTAATTGCAATTTATCTTTTTCAAATTGATGCGGATTGGATGCAATAGCGTGTGTTACTTTTTTCCCCGATGAATTGTTTTTTACGCCAACTAAAATTAATTTCGAACTTGTTTGGTTTTTTTTTTTTTTTTTTTTTTTGCCACTATCGAGAGGTAAGAAAAAAAAAATTTCCTTCTTTTTAATCAACTCGCGAGTCATAAATCAAATTTGTTTGGCGTGACGAGCAACTGCAAAAATCGTACGTTTGCAACCAGCGAGAGTGAGAATACGAATTCAAACAAGCATAACGTGAACGAGTGTTAAAAATAGACTGGTTAACGATAAAATGTACGAACAAACCGATTTTTTCGAGCTTCGCTTTGGCTCGGCATTCTTGCACGGAGGTGGAATATTTTATTTTTCTTTTCCCCGCTTCTTGTATGGAAAACAGTCGAGCTATAGTTCGAACGGCAATATCTTTCCATGGGATTTTCTCGGTGAAATACGTGACTTTGCGATAAGAACTTTCGCGCATTTTGCACGGAAATTTTCGTCCGAGCTTCGCGCTACAGTTGGCATCGGTTCTTGCGCTGCGGTACTTTGCAAGTTTAAAGAAGGGCATTTACTTAATCAAACGATATCGAACGAGACGAAGAAGCCGCAGTGTCGCGCATTGAGTCACGCGGCTCAGTGACCGCCCACGATTCGCCAGCTGTCTTCTTCTTGGCTCCGAAATTTATTGAAGCGTACCACAACGTTAATTGTGTGTCCGTATTAGACTTTGTCGCGAGACCATTGTAGTCTTTAAGCACTTTTCAGTTCGTTCGATGGTCAAACCTGTGGGAGGATTCATTTAAATTATTGTACCTATGGGTTCACAAACATTCATACAATAATTCCAGGAAATTGATGAACAAACTTATGTATACTTACTTTAATCAAATATTTTGATTCCGTTAAAACCCTCGATATTTTAATGTGCATCAGAAAATTGTATGAAATGTTTGCTGCATGAGAATCGGCTCTAAATATTAATTGATTAACGTACAGGTACCTATCGAAAGCAAAGTAATTTGAAACCAATGCGAGTTTTGTTTTTTCTCCTCAGCGTAGTATATATCTATGAAGTAGTAATGATTCAACAAGATCCAAATATCCATGAAATCAAAACAAACGCATCCTCCCTACATCTTTTCATTTCGCAATCTCCACTCACAATGACATAAATAAAACCAACTAACAGCTGTGGAAGAGGAGAGAAGCCTCCCAAAAGATAAAAGTGCCTTGAAAGGAATGTCGCCACGGCTACATATTATCAAAGCTGTGCACATATACCAACTACTATCGCATCATCGCATGTTCATCCAATTAAAAGGGAGGCATAAGATTCTTATACGCACGCCTCTATAGAAGCTATACTTACTTTTCTTCTGGAATTTCTCCCAGCCAACTACGAAAACATTTCTGCTCATTTTTGAGAATATAGAGGATATAAAAAAAAAGTCATGACTACATGGATGTGCAGATTATTGTTAGGGAAAAAAACGTTAATTTCGGAGCCGTTGCATGGGTTCTCTCTCTTTCTTTGAAGGCCAAACAAATAAGACGTGCGCTCTTTATGTATGCGAAATCATTGATAACCTCAAATCAGCGAAAGACGGACGTGCAGTTGTATTTTTTCAGATTACAGATTAAACCGCAGTTTCGGGGTGTACTTCATAATTTATCACTTTAATAGGCAACACAGCGCAAATGAGGGAGTAAACTAAATGCTGGAGTCAAAGTAAGGATTTTGAGGTTACAATCTCGCTAGTGATGCTGCGATCTTTCCGGTTGAAAGAAAAAAAAAAAAATTACTTAGTTGCTACGCACTCACCAAGATCATCCATGACGTCGTCTGTTGGTTCGCCGGCCGTGGGCTCCACTTGAGTAGCAAAAAATATCGAAGAAACAAAGACAGAGCCGCAGGGGTCTAAACAAATCTGCCGTCAGAATCTATTTACACAGAAACGTCACAACAATAACATGCAGCCGACACGCGAAGCACTGAGATGAGCATAACGAGTTGATAAAAAAACGCACACGCTGCACTCACCGCACCCGTTTTTTTTTTTTTTTTTTTTACTTGTGGTTATTATATTGCCGATCGAGCATATACACACGCGTAAATGTCATAATGTCGGTCGAGAGAGGAATTGTTGCTGAGAATTGGGCACACACAGCACGATGCGAAAAAATAATACGCTCCGGTAGCTGTATAAGCCGTCAAAAGTCTGTAAACGTTGAAGGTTTGCACGCTGATGGTTGGCTGGATGGCTGGTTGCGTGCGGTTGCGCTATAGGCACACTGATGCACACACGTACAATTTAACTTATGCTGCTCCGATCTTTCTCTCGTTTCGCTCCGAAATTCCGTGCGGGCGGAAAACTGGGGAGAAGGGAGAGAGATTGAATGTATACAGAAGAGAGAAGGGATGATAAGAGAGAGGAGGGACTGGGGGAGCGATAAGAGAGAGGAGGGTACGGATGAATGCGACGACGACGTGCGTCCTGTGACGAGTTTTTTTATGAGAGGCCGGTTTCCTTCTTCCTTCGACGATGACGCTGATGGACTTCTTTTTGTTTATGGCGATATAACGTTCGGGCGTGGAACAATTAGATGGCGGCTTTTTTTCTAGGCTTGAATCGGCACTATCGAGTCGAACTATCAAATGAGTTCGATGTAATTTGGTTTAGTTTCGTACAATGGTTTTAAGAATCACGTATAAAAACGTCACATTTGTTTAACGCCATATGTTAGTCAAATTATGAATCTTACAGCGATTGGAGTGGTTTGAAAACATGTAAGCTACCGATATTCACAAAATTTAAGGTGAAAACTACGAAGGATCACATGAACAAACTACCGCACAGAAGAGGAATGCATCACGCGATAGAGGAGCTCGATTCGTGGGATGCAGGGATCGCGTCGATGAACAACCGACAGATAGACAGACATACAGCAAGAGCCGTGTATCGCTGTAGCAAAGAGCGGCTAAGAATTTCCGGCTGCTCACAAACTAAAGCTGTAAGACATGAAACGGTAAGCAACTGCGGAGAGAGCTGGAACAGGACGGGCTTCCAAAAATGGTCTTATCCACGGTAAACGAGATTGCGCGCTAAAACGTATAATGCAGCCGAGAGCAGGTGGAAAATTCGTCGTATGCACCTGCATATAGCTATAGCTGGTTACGCTTGGTTTTTTCGTGGCAAGTATGTATTTACTTTTTTACAGCAGGCCCCTTGGTGGAAAATGTTTAACTGTATATATATTTTTTTTAAGGCACAAATCATTGAAGGTTTAACGACACTTTCAGCGTTTCGAGAAATTGAAGTTAGCGCTGATTATATTAGGTAGATGACACAAAGTACATTTAATTTTCTGTAAAAATTACGTATTTTTAATGGAGAGATGAGGAAATAACTTACTGGCTAGAACAATTTACAATTTTTACAGTTCATCAATAAATACAATACTTCACATGTGAATTTACTGCATCCGCTATTTACCAAGTAGAAAAAGTAAACGAGTTTGCCACAATTTTCTTCTTTTTTTTTGGTACAGCTGCTGCTGAACTCTCTTTTTCTGATCTGCAATAGTATAATTTCAATAAAAATCAGCATACAGTTACATAAACAGTGTTCATACCATCCACCAATTTTATAATAAAAGAAACAAACGTACGTTTCCTCAGATTTCGCGGGATTGAGATACTTTCCAACACCTGCTCGATAAATCTTCAAAGCTTCTTCTTTTTGCCGCTTGGGAGCATTTTTTTCTTCAGCTTCTTTTTTTAGTCTCTCCAGCTCTTCAGATCGTTCTTTAACCAATTGCTCGTCCACTTCTTCATAAGGATCAACAAATATCTGTACGGCTTGAATAAAGATATTTTCAATCGGTCGATCCTTATTGTCAACTTCAATTTTTTCAATCTCATTAAGTGCATCCAAGCCACCAACAATTTTGCCGAAAACTGTATGCTTATTGTCCAAATGTCGACACGAACGAAACGTAATAAAACTGTAACACAATCAAACACATAAGACATGTGGCTTAAACTTTGAGCTTTTATATAAAGATTTTAAGACTGACAATTGAGATCCATTCGTATTAGATCCTGAATTAGCCATTGAGAGTATTCCTCTTCCTTGGTGCACTAGATTGGGCTTAAACTCATCTTCAAATGGTTTTCCCCAAATAGATTCACCCCCATTGCCTGTATTTGTTGGATCCCCACCTTGAATCTGATAAGAAAACATACCAATACAACATACTTGCATACAATTCAAAGTAGATATGAATGTAGCTCACCATGAAATTTCTGATTGATCTGTGAAACTTAGTGCCATTATAGTAGCCATTTTGACAGTGTTTCAGAAAATTTTCACAAGTTTTTGGAACTAGATCGCAGTGAAGTTCTACGTTTAGGGCTCCAAAATTTGTAATTATTTTTGCATACCCTAAATAAAAAAAATTTATGTTAATAATAAAGTGTTTCAATAAAAGTTTTGTGAAATTCTTACAAACATACCTTTCTTTTTTACTCTCTCATAGCGCACAACATCCTCTTCAAGAACTGCTGCATCAAGTGTAAGCACTCTTGGCATCACAGTTGAAGTAAGACCAGCAGCTGCTGCTCCAGTTGAATAATGAGCCTGGAAAATACCATAATTTATTTTGATTCCTAACAGAAACTGTATAACAAATTTTTATTTTTTAAATTCATCTTACAGCATTAAACTTATCTGCTTTGGCTTTTTCGACTTGCTTATCTTTTTTAACTGGTTTGTATTCACGATCCAACTCACCCAAGATTTCTTTTGTTTCCATCGACACAGTTTTGAGCTTTGCATTAGGATTACTTCTGTCTCTGATTGTTTCTAGAATTAATGAAAGACTTATTGAATGAAGATAAATATAGTGTGAGCATTAACAATAATGAGGATAAATACTTACCTTCATCTTCCACTCTGATATTGTTCTTGACATGATGAAACAAGGTCAAATTAAATTTATTTGCTTGAGTTGGGTCTTGAATGGTGATAAGATCTTTCCTAGCAAATGGCTCATCTGTGATTAAATCTTTCCAATTGCGCGTCTTAATATTCAACTGTTCCACGGCCTAGTTAACATATACCAATGAAAATACACATCAAAATTGTAACAACTATGAAGATAAAAAAATGATGACCTCCTGTAAGAAAACATTCCCAGTAGTTTTGACCGCCACAATGCGAGAGGTATTTGTAAACGCCTTGAACAACACGGGACAGTGATACTGGCCTTCTGCATTTTTAAAGAAATTCAACTTAGTTAGTGACTTTGCATCCAAGGGTTTACCAGTCACAGGATTGTGCTTGTACTGCTTTATGTAAGGTAGTAGAGCTTCCAGATCAAATATATTTCCCTGAGCATCGCAGTAAGGATTTTTGAAGGGATTCAGACTCAAGCAACAATGATCGAATGGTAACCTTCGAAATCCACCATCATCATTTGACTGTGATGAAGTACCTGATACCTTTCCACCATAGAGTGTTGTCCATTCGGTGTAGGTAAGGTACCTAAATTGAAATAATAATTTTCCGAAAAAACAACTCAAGTATTTAGTCTGAATAACATGCTTATGTTTGTAAATCTGGGAGTCTCATAGATGAAAACTTACATTTTATCTTTTTGATGCTGTCGCTTTCCCATCTTGATATCTTTTCAGAAAACACAACACAAAAAGTACTTGTACAACCTCTGCTTACTTGAACACTCTAAAAAATAAATGAAGAAAAACAGCTGCAGGATCCAGAAACGGGTAAGTTCCAAAAATCAGATTTACCGTGTGAATGACAACGCTGCTGTCAACAAAATGTCAAGTTGTTAAGTATAGGTATGTTTGGGGACCGAGATTAATGCAGATTTATGCGGCCAGCGCTTGTCTGAACTCCGAACTTCAAATGAACAAGTTGTTAGTTTTCGTCGGCAGTTTTCACTTATGTATTTTGTTATAGAAAGAGAAATTAGATCTATTTATAATCAATAATATTTCCAACAAAAAAACGCAGCATTCGCCGGAGTCCTAATAATCGATGTAACAATTATGATTTTCATTAAAATGATCAGGGCCATCTAGCGGGGCTGATTCCACACTAAAGTACCATATAATTTCTTTTGGAAAAAATCCACTAGCAAAAGATACTAGGCTAGGGGATTTAAGGATTATACAAAAGTTTCAAGTTACTGAACCGGGAAGTCAACGCCATCTAGCGGACGTTTTTGTTTTACAGTTTTAAGCGGCGAAGAAAAGCACATCTCAGAGTTTGCCTTTTAAACCCTTTAAAATGACAGACATTTAAATTAAACTTTCCTTCCTCTGCCGACAATCATTGGCTATATTCGACGCACCGGACACCTTAAGGACATTTTTTTGCTTTGACAAGAGCGAAAGTTGCTTATGAAGCCCGATCACGCTCGAAGCAAAAAAACGTCCGTAGGGTGTGTGGGCCATCAAATATAGCCTTTGTCGGCGGAGGAAGAAAAGCTTAACTCATTTATCTGTCATTTTTTAAAGGGCATAATCTGAGTTGGGCTTCTCTGGGTCACCGATAACACACATACGTCAGTAGGGTTTCTGAGCGACAACCGAACTATATTAAAAAAAAATTTTTGACAAAACATACGACGGTCACAATACCGTAAAACCGAAACGACGAGTTAGTTACCCCCACCATTCAGCCAAGTTACGCTCCGATTGGTTCGGAGTAGCTGTCGACTTTTGATACCTTCGTCTGCCATGGATGTGTTGTGGCTACTCCGAACCAATCAGAGTAAAGCTTTCTCGCATAGGAAAGTAGAGGGGGAAAGAAAAGTTGACCGTCATATGTAAAACCAAAATTGAGTCAGACACCCCCACCATTCGGCCAAGCTACGCTCTGATTGGTTCGGAGTAGCTGTCGACTTTTGATACCTTCGTCTGCCATGGATGTGTTGTGGCTACTCCGAACCAATCAGAGTAAAGCTTTCTCGCATAGGAAAGTAGAGGGGGAAAGAAAAATTGACCGTCATACGTAAAACCAAAATTGAGTCAAACACCCCCACCATTCGGCCAAGCTACGCTCTGATTGGTTCGGAGTAGCTGTCGACTTTTGATACGTTCGTCTGCCATTGGATGTGTTGTGGCTACTCCGAACCAATCAGAGTAAAGCTTGGCCGAATGGTGGGGGTGTCTGACTCAATTTTGGTTTTACGTATGACGGTCAATTTTTCTTTCCCCCTCTACTTTCCTATGCGAGAAAGCTTTACTCTGATTGGTTCGGAGTAGCCACAACACATCCATGGCGGACGAATGTATCAAAAGTCGACAGCTACTCCGAACCAATCAGAGCGTAGCTTGCCCGAATGGTGGGGGCAACCAACTCGTCTTTTGGTTTTTCGTGTGACGGTCAGATTTTTCTGCCCCCTCTTCTATATTCTGAAAAAGTAACGATCTCAGTACTGGATTGAGCGGTATTGTGACCGTCGTGTTTTGTCCAGAATTTTAGGGCCACTTTGTAGTTCATCTGTTCACACAATCGCAACGATAGATGGTGCTGACAACCGAGTAGTGAGTACATGATGTAGCCTACATCGCTAGTATCACTACATTGAATATAGATCGAAGTGAGGAGATGTGTTAGAGACAATCGGGACAGTCCGCAGCTGTGTAAGTACATACAATCACTGAAACGAAAGCTGCCGAGTTGCCGACTAAGCCCGACTAGACCCGACTATCCCATAATAGTGAAGTAGAAGCGGAGCCGGTAATGGCGCTGCCGGCAATGCACAGAGAACAGAGAGTCGGAGTCGGGTCGGAGTAGCATTTTTGTTTGCAGTCTGCCCAGAAGAGCCGGGTGCAGCTGTGTTTGTACAAAAAATACACTGATACAATAAAAAAAAAATTTGACTTGACCTCGTCTCGTAGTACAGAAGTTGGGTTAAGTACTGGTGAAGTGGAAGCACTGTGCTGGAGTTGAAAAAATTCGTCACACTGTCAACGACTTAGTTAAAGTAGCCGATAGAGTTCGAGAGTTATACCTTTTAGTAAGTGATGGTTTGGTTTATCCTTCGGGTGTGGAGTGTGGTGGAGGACGAAGACAGCATTTTGTTTGTTATTCGCTCGGTATCTTTTAAATTCTATTTGTACATTGCCGGCTTGAAAAGTGAGAGGAGATTCAAATTTTTTTTTGGCAGACGTGCTTTCTACAACCTTGTTTTTTTCATCACCGTTTGTAAAACGTAAATTTTGTGGTGAAACAGCTTTGACCAGTATTTGGGCATGGATAACTAATGGGAACGTTATACAACTACAAGTCTTTCAAAGACAATGACAGTCGGTTGCTGTTATTGTTAATCATATATTTTGTTTAAGGTTTCACTTGGGTAATTAAAATGTTGAATGCCTTGTTTGAAGAAGCTTCTATGATAATGAAGAATCGATGTTTCACCTCTGCTTGGAGTCGTTAAATGCTCATTTTCTTCTTTTTTTATCATGAAATCAATGTACAGGCACACCTGTACAATTAGATCAAAACAAGCATAAGACTTGAATTCATTTGCTTTACTTTTTGAGAAAAAGTAAAAATCGAACCACCTAAATCGTAATCATCGGAAGAGTGTCCATTTGTTCTGAGAGCAAGGAGAGTGCAGTGAGCGGGGGGGGGGAAGAATATATCTATAAACCTTGTACTCACACATGCATGTGTACTGTGTAGCGTTGGCGTACGTGTGATGGGATGCGAAGAGACGGAGCGCCGGGCCGGCTCCTCTCTTACTCTCTCGTACGCCCGTCCATTATTACAAAACGCGTTAACGCAAACTACATGTAAAAACTTAAAGACGCATGCTAGTTATTTTACAGGATTATCTGTGTTATCTCTTATCAAAGAAAGAGATCGTACATAGTGATAAGGAAATTCAAGGGTTAAGTTTAAGGGTAGTGTTTTAGTAGTGAATGACTCTGTTTTATAAATATAATTGTTACAATTTTGGAGTCGTCGTACTCAATTTAAGTTCAGAAAAAGGTATGTATACTTCTTGTGCACCTTGTATACTAAGCAGGTCTTTCTATTGATAAACTCCTAATGTTTGCTAAACCTCACTGGTCATCATCGTTTCATTATTCTGCCTCAACTCACATTGTTCTATTTACTATCAATCATTAGTCCTCCAAACATGATTAAGAACGTAATGCAATTGTTTTTTTCTCATTGTTGTCATTCTTTTTTGTCAACCAATATTTGGTTACGAATCTTTCTCTATCTCTCATTCTCTCTCTCCCCAAGTGTCCACACCATCATCAGCATTAACACATTAACACATGTACGAAAACTAGCTTTTATCATGCTCTTTCTCTGTCTCTCTTTCTTGATCTGCCCGCACATCTACAACCATAAAAACAGATATAAGTATACAAACCTATAGAAAAAGAGTGAGAGAACCCTTGTGATCTTGCTCTCTTGCTTTCTCGCACTCTCGCATAAGAACTTGGTAACCTAAGCATATTATCGTTTTGGGAGAATCGCATTTCTCTTCCCTTCTGGTGTGTAGGTAGGTATAGGTGTGTATCCTATCCTACCTATAACTCTACTGCTCCATACCTCTGGCTCTGGCTGCTGCTAGCTTGGCACAGCTATAGTGAGGCACAAGCAAGTGGAGCCGTGTTATTGCTCGCTTATTTATTTCTCGTTTAATCTTACTCTTTTTCTTTTTTTTCTACAAAAAGGAGGGCGAATTTATATACGCGCGTGTGTGTGTAAGTTTGGCACCTTTGTAGACGTACATTACAGAAAAGAAACTGGACATAAGTCAGCAATCGAGTTTTTTGAAAATTTACTACATGTGGGTGGAAAATCTAGTGATTTGTAATACCACCTGTAAATAATAGTGCAAAGTCTAATCACTTTGAACAAAAAAAAAAAAAGAAAGAGTTGTATGAAGTAAGAAAATTTTGGAGCAGCCCTTGAACCACTCAAGTTTTTGGCTTAGTACATAGCTAGTATAGATATGGTAGTAGGTAGAGTATCTAGCTCTTTCTCTCTTCATCCTCTCCTCCTCGGTCCGAGGCCCGAGGTTCAGCGCCCTCGGCCTAGTAGTAGTCGTCGCCCGTCGTCCCTCCGATCGAGCTGCGGGTTGCGGCACGCGCTTACACAGCCGTGAGCAGTGCATGACATTTTCGTTTTAACACTTCGAGTCTTTAACAAGTCGTTGTAGTACTTATTTTCTAAAAAGATACCTTTTTTGGATCCTAGTTTGAGTAGATGATCTAGTTGAGAGTAAGTTAAAATGCGAAGCGTAGAAGAGGTTGTGAGGTCTTCTAGTCCAGGCGTAAGTGACGCTATGAGCTTCTTTGACACGAGATTTGTAACCTTTTTTTGTTGTGACGAATAGTGATGAGGTGTTGAAAAGTGCAGATAAAGTTTTGAATTGATCTCTTTTGGGTGATAAGAAGTGTTAATCAGAATGCCAGATTAGAAATCTTGCTTTGAAATGCTCTTGAACTTTATGAAAGGTTTAGAGTTAGTTGATTTAAGGTAGACTTTTTCTAATCAGATTGGAACTAGTAAAAGTTTTTAAGCTATCCAATGAGATCTACTGTTGTTGAGGAATTAAGTTCAAAATAATTGCTTATTCAAGCATACGATATTTATTAATAATGCAGAAAAAACTTCCTTTAGTCTCAAATATTTTATCGAACAAGTGTGTCCCACAGTGATTTCAACATACAGTATAATAAAAAAAATCGCGTAGGCTGTATTGTTCATTCTGCTATCCTGTATTAAAAAATTGTCAATTACTTTAAAATCGTTCTTTAATTACTACACGAGTTTTAGGAAGATAAGGTTAACTAAATTATTTTACTTGCCTTCTGGACAACAGCCAAGTTTCAAAAGATACATTAGTATCAATGAATCATTTCTATAACTTAACTTGAAAAGAAATAAACTACATTTTTCAATCGTATAAGTTCACGAGTTATTTTATTACTGATCATATAATTTTTGTTCAATTAAATTTTTTTTAAAGACAATACCTCTGTACTTGGTATACATTTCTAATATAACTTATTCCAAATAACTAAAAATGTTAATAAATAGTTTACACTTTAGTCCATTCATTCTACTGTTATAGCTTTCATGTAGCTTTGTATTTTTTTTTCTAGAAACATGGCATCAGGAGCAGGGTCTAGTGGTACTGGCAGAGGTCGTGGATCATCATTAGCTGACAACAAACCAGAAAGTAAAGAGTCCAAACCTAATCCCAAAATGTCTAAGGCCTTAGGTACCTCTGCTAAAAGGTAAACAACACTGATTTATTTTTGATAGATAATTAACTTGAAAAGGTATAAGTAGACTGAAATTTTTAATATGTTTCAGGATACAAAAAGAATTAGCAGAGATAACTTTAGATCCACCTCCGAATTGCAGGTTAGTTTGAATATTGAAATTATTGTAAAATTTTGTACATTCAGACTCTCTAGTTAAACTATGGATATATTTAATAGTGCTGGACCTAAAGGTGATAATTTGTATGAATGGGTTTCTACAATTTTGGGACCACCAGGATCAGTATACGAAGGTGGTGTTTTCTTTTTGGATATACATTTTTCTCCAGAATATCCTTTCAAACCACCAAAGGTGTACATTTTTTACGATTTAAATTTAGTGATCAATAAACAGACAATAATAAAGTTAATCGATTGTATTTTTTAGGTGACTTTTAGAACACGAATTTATCACTGCAATATAAATAGCCAAGGAGTGATATGTTTAGATATCCTCAAGGACAACTGGTCGCCAGCACTGACTATATCAAAAGTTTTGTTGTCCATTTGTTCTCTTTTAACAGACTGTAATCCTGGTAAGTGTACTTTTCCGTCTCATTTTTGAGAAATAAAACAGCTGCTTATGGTTATTCTTTGAAAAAAATTGAATCTGTTAATATTAATTTTACAGCTGACCCTTTGGTAGGCAGTATAGCAACGCAATATATACAAAACAGAGAAGAACACGATCGCATAGCTCGCCTTTGGACTAAGCGTTATGCGACATGAGCAGCGTTAGTGCATAATTTTAAAGAGCTCCTATCAGTCTCATGCCAATTTAATAGTTCACACATTATTCAGAAAACGCTGCTGACTCGGGTAATTTTTAAAATGTTTTTCTGGACAGATTTCAAGTTTAAGCAAAAGACATTTTCGCATTCACAAGGGAATTTCGCTGTCTGTCGTAAATATAAACCCTTGCTAACGGCGCTGGTCTTCAACGCTCGATCCACATCCCCATTTTGTGTCAATTTACGATTCTAACAATTTTTCCTATAATCTTAGACATTAAGTCGTTGACTGCGCGAGCGTGAATACATATTTACGACAGAACGTTTGTTTCTTCCTTTAGAAGTAAAGACTAAAAAGCTCAAACTGCTTTTTTTCTTGTGTTTAGGTCGAAAGTTATTTAATATACTTGCACAGTGTGCCTGAAAACGAACAATGTATAGAAAGTGTCGAAGGCATGAGTGTGAAATGGAGTATTTTTTTGTTTGGAATAAATTTTCAAACGGCATAGAGGAGAGGAGGGAATTTCAGAATGATTGAATAGAAGAAAAATATAAAGATTGTGATGGAATTATTTTGAAAGGAGGAGAAAAGGTACCGCGACGAGCTAGTATTTAATTAAGAAAAGTAAACACACGAACTAAAATAAACGATAAATTCCTAAGTTGTAAGTGTAGGTACTTAGACTGTAAGGTCGATACGAATGAGTAATGTAAATGGGAAAGGGCCCACACACGTCTCCCGATCGTTGTGTCTTTTTTTTCGTACTCATTAGATGTCGGGACTTTTATATGCTTTATTGTTTCTTAATCCTGATTACTTTTATTATATTATTCACCTCTGCGGTTTTTTAATTAATTTTTGCTGAGCATACGTTTTGTTGTATCAATATTTTGTTATCCGTTAAATTGTGACAATTTTTTTATATAGATATACAAGTTTTTTGTTCATAAGTAGTCGTCGCCCGTCGTCCCTCCGATCGAGCTNATAGATAAATGAATCTTATGATTAAATTTACATTTTGTAAAATGTAGGCAATACAAAGTAATTAGCTCAAATTTGCAAATACATTGTACATCAAACCTAAGTAAACGGCGTCTATTTTACCTTTCAACTTTCAATTTTTTTTTTTTTTTTTCTTAATAATCAGAACTTGAATATTATGCAGTACTTTAATTAAAGGTTATTCAGTTTAATATCAACGGTACGTGTATGTATGCTGTAAAACACAGTAAAATCACAAGGGTACTGTATACTACTCAAAGAAAACTAGTACACCACAAACATCTTATTGCACAGTTTCGCACAATCAAATATGATGATATTATACATAAGTATGACGCATGATTTTTTTCTCAACATTAAAAAAAAATTCAAAATTCAAATAGACCTTGATGGAAATGAAAAAAAAAAAAAAAAAAAAAAAAAAACAAGCCCAATGCTGGCAAATTTTTCTATGAAGCAAAATATTTATATCCCCATTTTTTAACCAAGGAGGTGGAAATATAATACGCGAAGAAAGATTAATATCAATAAAAAAAAACTCAAGCAATGTACTATCCTTTTGATGCTTCCACGTTATTTTTGTAATAAGCGATAGCGTTTTGAAAAAAAGCAAGGCGGACTATATCCACTTTGTACATAAACGGACTCTGTGCGTGCGTAGCCGTTCGATTAAATAATACCAATAAAGTTAAAAAAAAATTTATAGGTGTCTGTAAAATACTGTATCTTAGTAATAATTATTGTCATTAAAAAAAAAAAAAAAAAAAAAAAAAAAAAAAAATTTAAAAAAAAAAAATACAAAGTTCTAGTAAAGGATGCATACAGGACGAATTTCACATGTATCAGAAATCAATACAATAAAAAAAGAAATCTTGATTTGATGCGATCTTTTACAGGTCACATGTATCTCTAAAACATCTATTGCAAAGGATTTGATATTGAAGACGAAACAAAATAAATAAAAACTAGAAATAAAGAGTAATATTTGTAAATTCAGGTCTCAAGTTTGCTGTGCTAATCGTTCGGATTCCGCTGCTGCTTTTTAATTCGGATTTTTGTATCATCGTTATTGCTACTACCAAGTATTACATAAAAAAATACGAAAATTGCAACTCGCGTACCTCGTACGATCCTTCAATTTTATAAAGTTGCCAATCTTGCAAATACACACAACAAACGTTTGTATGTTCCTTATTCCCTGAAAAAAAAAAAATAATAGTAAAAAAAATTGCGAGAATTTTAAATATTCGAATGTGAAAAAATACGAATAGTTTTCCATTAGTTGTATGCGTATATAGATTTTTTTTGTTACCATAGAAGTCGCTCGAAACCAACGTCTATAGGATTTGCATTTTAATGAAATCAAATATAAAATCAAATAGTTACTTAGAAGGTGATAATTTGTATGAATGGGTTTCTACAATTTTNTGCCACCACATAGTCCCAAGTCGACATAGAAACAAAAAGCCACCTCATCAGCCGTTTTACTTAGCGATGTATACAATGACTCAATATCTAAATAATAAATACAGTGTGTTACACAAAATGCTGTTTTAAATATGGGTTGATTTTTTTTTTTTTTTTTTTTTCATACCCGTGAACGAATGTTATTTACAGTCGATGAAAATCGTTAAAAAAAATTTTACGTTGCTTCTGACTGAATTAATGAATAAATGCTAGAGCAAGAAGAAAAGTGAGAACAATGTACTTATTTTACTTCTACTGGTTTTCTTTTGTAATATGCAATGTGAACCGTAGCAGTAATCGGGGACGAAAGTTACGCCAAAATCACTTTATTCAGAGAGACAGTCCAGTACAGATACACTTCTACCTATTCAATTAAAAAAAAATTTCGTGTAAATACATTTACTGAGACTACATATTTGTATTTTCCTTAGTTTGTCGAGTGCTGTATAATGTATAGTAAACGTGTGATGTTTTATTCAATTTTAATAGCAGTACAATGAAGAAAAAAAAAATTAAGGGAAAGAGAAAGCGTGTTTGATAAGAAAAAAAAAAAAAAAAAAAAAAAAAAAAAAAAAAAAGGAATTTTGGATTATGGTTTGGTAATTGATGAGAAGAAACTTATATGAAAAATAAAGTATGAAATTAATAAAAACGTTAGGAAGTCCAGGGAAGTCGAATTTAGGGTGATTCGTGCAATGAATCGACGAAGATGACTTCGCGTGTTGCGTAAACTATAACATTGGATGGACAAAGAAGAGAATCTCTGTCTGATATAATATAGTAAGTGTTAGTAAGTGAATAAACTGATGTACTAAAATTGTTTACTATTTAATTTTTGCCTCTGTCAAATGTATTATCTATTAAGAATCTAGTAAACAATTATTACCGTGAACATTTTTTTTTTATGTAACAATTTACTATGATGAAATTGGTGATCTGGAAAATATATAACTGCCTTTATTAATAAACTAGGGGTTGGAGAAAATACAGAACACACCAAGAATTATTTTTATTTTATTTATTAATACGTATCATGAACACTAGACAAATATGTGCCACGAAAAGTTGCGTTAATTTCCAAAAACGCAAAACGAAAGTTGAAAACTAATATTTAACTTCCTGCATTCAGCGCATCTGAAACGATGAAATGACGTGTACCTACACTCCGAATTTACATGGTCAGGTGAGTGGATTACAAACATTTGTGCTATACTATTCAGCCAAAATAGATTTTTGTAATCAATTTATAAATTTCCTTGGTTTCATTTTTTATTCCCGTAATGTTTGTAATCGTACAGAATTATACCAATGACTGTTAATACTGATTATAGATCATCAGTCTTCTTGTTGCTTTTGTTTCACTTTTCGTAAATATTTTCGGTAAACAAAGTATCTTGCGGGCCTGGTAAACAAGTCAAGTTGAAACACACTTAAAAAAAAAAAATTCATATATATCGAATTAACGATCGAAAAGTATAAACACTTTGCTTTATTGCGGTAGAAAAGAAAAAGGACCAAGTGCTACAATATCTTAGCGAGTTAAAGCGTCACAGCGAAGCATATGCATATTATGGCAAAACCGGGATTAATTTAAAACCTATATGCAATACAATGGACGTATACAATAAATGTTTTTCGTAAACACTCTTTTGTCATTTTTATAGAGATGTTTCTATTATTAAGATTAATTCTGGTTATTCGCAATATATACGTTATATAGGCACACTCCTGTTCGATACTTCAATCAACATTGAGAATAAAAAAAAGGATTCGATGATTGCAGTTAATAATTAACAACTAATGACTCCAACGCGCGTACGGAAAACACTTTTCTGAATATCGATCCCATGACTCTGTGGAATATTTTTTCTTCTTCTTACGTTATAGACACAAGCAGCCGTAAAAATACAAATATGGAGGTCACTTTGTTTATCGAAACTCGTTTGATACTATTGAAATAAACGGGTGAAACATTTGAACTTGGTCTTTTATCCATTATTTTTTAACATTTACCGTACGCACGCGTGACCATTAATTTTTTCAGCAATGTTTTCACGAATGTTTTAATCGACATTGAAACACTGCTTAATTTATTCCTAGACATAATTATATAGTATGTAGTAATAATAAGGCTCGTTCGCTTACAATGCGTATGTTGCTTGTCTTATTTAATAATTAATTCGTTTTTATTGTTTTCGCTTGAAGCTAGACAGAATACATTTATTATTATTATCGCAATCGGACTACGATATATTAGCCTACAGAGAAAGATTGTTTATCACACATAATAAACGAGGGCCAAGTTCTTGGTCCCGATTGATGAAAATTTATTTTTGAATTACTTTCTTCGTTTTTATTCAAAATTTGAGCAATTGTTTATTTTAGCGTATCTATATACGTATTACAATGTCGATCGTAAGAATGCAATGATAACGTTAAACTGAACACGAATATTACTAAACCGTAGAACAAATCTCGAGTATAGTAAAAAAATAGATAAATGAATCTTATGATTAAATTTACATTTTGTAAAATGTAGGCAATACAAAGTAATTAGCTCAAATTTGCAAATACATTGTACATCAAACCTAAGTAAACGGCGTCTATTTTACCTTTCAACTTTCAATTTTTTTTTTTTTTTTTCTTAATAATCAGAACTTGAATATTATGCAGTACTTTAATTAAAGGTTATTCAGTTTAATATCAACGGTACGTGTATGTATGCTGTAAAACACAGTAAAATCACAAGGGTACTGTATACTACTCAAAGAAAACTAGTACACCACAAACATCTTATTGCACAGTTTCGCACAATCAAATATGATGATATTATACATAAGTATGACGCATGATTTTTTTCTCAACATTAAAAAAAAATTCAAAATTCAAATAGACCTTGATGGAAATGAAAAAAAAAAAAAAAAAAAAAAAAAAAAAAAAAAAAAAAAAAAAAAAAAAAAAAAA